ACTGCTGTATTTACATGTGGATTTAGATAACACCCATATAATATGCGAAATTCTAATATATAAGCGTTATTATATTAGCGTTATCTAATACACTAGCGTTATTAGTTAACATTACATTAGCGTTAATGTTATTATTATTATGCGTTATTATTCTAATACATTAGCGAAATTCTAATATGTTAGCGTTATATTCTATTATATTAGCGTTAAGTAGAGTGGTACTGCAGTTCATATTGTTTAATACGAGAATCTCTGCAGCTCTTTTTGGAAAGCAAAATTTAGCTAGAGATTTCATAAACATAAGCTAAATTTTCTTGCAAATAATATTGTTATAAAAGTAAAAAAAATTTCGATTAAAAATTCCTATAACAGGTATTATTACTAAAATTTCTTATGAAATACATCTGAATGTCGAAATTATGATTAAAAATTTATTACCGGTAAATATGCTGATCGGTATCAGCCATTTTCAAGATAAAAACAATTGTCTTTTAAATAAAAATAGTTGCTTGTTGTTCAGGGCTGAAATTCAGTTGAAAATTTCCGGTTAAGTACAACAGACTTCTCAGTGTCACGGGAATCTGATGAAATTGACTCTTTTTGATGATGTCATTAAATGTACGATTTGTAGAACATCGAACGTTGAACTTTAAGATGACGGCGTGTTTGCCACTCAAACATAAAGTAAGCAAATAGAAAGCAACTAACTGTAACCGTTGTTTCCGGAGGCTGATTTCACGTACTGCTCTTAGCGTGTCAAATATTGTAAAGAAGAAAGCCATCATATTGAAAGCAAGTGGAGTGTATATGGAAAACCTTTCTGTTGATATATGGCTCCTAAGTGCGTCTCTCAAAACGGCTACATTTTCAATAGCCACAAGAGACGCATGCCAGCGTTAATAAATTTCAAGCTTTAAACATCTTAAAATTAGTTAAATTTAACAACTAAAAGAAAACTGAGTGACAAAGAAGATTAAAACTATTAATTAAAAAATTAATTTCAAAAGAAAATTCCAATAAAACTGACGTTAAAAAATTCTGGAATTTAATAAGCTCTCTAAGTTCTCGAAGTCTCTTAAGTCTTCCAAAATTCAGAAATCATGGTATTTACATTTCTTTGTTTAAAAAATCTGATGTTGACACCACCTGACTTCCTTGTACGTCTATTAAGTTATACACATTTTTTGCTGCACGTCGTTTAAAGTTATTTCTTCGAATTATTCTAACTTAATTAACCGATTTCTCAAGGCAAACTGAAAATGAAATGAAAAACTGAAAATTTTGAAATTAAATACAGTCAATTTTTGTAGTGTGGGATTCAAACTTCTTGTATTTTTATTTTGTCATAACGAGTATAAAATCTTCCCAAATATAAGAAACGGTAGACTTTATTAAAAGTTAGATTTCGTTGTTTGTCCAAAATTACTTTTTTTAAAACATAAATATTTTCGTTATTAAAAACACTTCTGTAGTTGGAAATGTATACTTCAAATTGTAATTCTTAGTTGTCTTTATTGGCATTCTTTATTTTTAATTTATTGAAATATTGGAATTTTAATAGGAGCATTCCTCATTCTGTTCTTGGCAGTATAAACTATGTAGATGTCCTAACAAACTAGGGCCGAGTTATCGTTTGACCTGAGAAGAACTGCAAAATATTGAAAAAGTTTTAAAACAAGCCTTTTCATTAAATCAAAACAGGAACATAAATGCACGTCTCGTGCTAGATAAAATCAGCCAATCAATTATGGCGAAGTAATATAAATTAAATGTCAATTTCAAAATTTAAAACTTAGTAGCCGAAGGCTACGCAACTAATTTAATACGGAGTTGGTTCAAATTTCTCACCCACGTTACAATTTAAATCTCGGCAACTATAATACAAGGCCGAAGAATAAAATCTTTTCGAACTAGCAAAAGCCTAGTAACTTGGCCTCGAAAGGCGGAAACACATTCTGCCTTACATTCCGAAAATCTGACCTTAAATATTCTTAACCTCATTTGCATTCTGGTAGAGAAACGGAAAATAGAAGTAAGAGTAAAGATCTAAATTAAAATAACTGATTAGAATAACATAACGGAACTTTACAAGTTAAGTGTTATCAAAGTTACAGATCTTTTCACCAACACGTCGCTATATTTCAGTTTCCTCTTGCTTCCTGAGTCGTACCAAGTTTTGGCATCATAGATATGTTTTATCCTCGTTTTTTCAAAATTATCGTCAGCGTCTACACTATTTTTGTTTACTCGAACGTTTCAGCGAGGTTTAGGGCCTTATTTCGATTCTTAAACACATCCGTGAACAAAGTATCTCTCAGGCAAAGATGCCCTATTCTTTACTGTAATTAAGGCTCTATCATATTAGGCATCTTTTAATATATTCGCTTATAACAAATTTTTAACTTTCTAAGCTGAAAAGCTGTTTCTGTTGTCATGATGATTGTATCAGCTCTTTTACGGAATGTCAGGAGAATAAAATTTGCACAAAAATTTGGTGTCTGAGACATTTTATCAATTGATGATCGGTGAGAGATGCGAGAGATGTCTGATAGATTTCTGCAGCTCTCCACCATTTTTGAAGTTTCAAAGTGTGATGATGGCTCAACAGCTTGCCTAGCTTCTTGTCTAGATTTAGTCTTCTAGCCTAAGCCATTTAAACAACTTAAGATTGTTATATCACTCATGATTCGATTTTTAATAGAATGAGCAAGCTCACAGCCCATTTTACTATCATTTTCTTTATTATTCCCATCTGTAACATAAATGCTAAGAGTTTTCTTCAGAAGGTATTCAAATAAAATAGCATTCTCCTCGTGTTTTACAGCAATTAGTTATCTCTTCTGTTTAATTCCAAAACAAAATTAATTCTTCATCGCTTTCGTAGTTAATAACTGTCCCTTTTTATATTTTATGCTTCAGAAAAGTTTTAAAAGTACTTAAAAGAATCAATATTTTAAAATCTGGTCAGAATTTTGTTTATGTGTTTCTAAATACATTTTATACATTTCGTATTGCTAATGTAATCTGAAAATGTATTAGAAAAATTTATCTGAATGTTTGTCAGCATCTGAAGACCTACTAAAGCGTAAAATTAAAAATGTAGTTTTCTACAGTTTTCTTCTTTTCATTATTTTAAGTAATGGAATACTTAGAAGATAAAAAAATGCTTTGACACATTTGGGATTTTCTCCTAGAAATATATATTAAAAAATTTATTTTAAAATAATTAAAATACATTTTATAAAAGTCTGAAGAGTTTCAAAATACATACAAAGGAAACACTATGAGTTAAAAGAAAGATTGAGATGACGGAAAAAAAAAAAGCTTTGAAATTAGCATTAAATATAAAATAACGCTTTTTGAATGTAAATAAATAATTATAAATAAGCTTTAAAATAAGTTATCGAATAATGGTGCATTTCTTACTTACATTTAATTTATTATTTACATTATTGATTATTTTTCATATTCAATTTATAAGACACGTGCATTTTTTTAAATTTAAAAATAAAAGTTAGTCTTAAGAAAGGAAATAATTTGATAAATTTAAGTCCAAATAATAGATTGCAAATGAATGAGAATTTTAAACAAAATAAAAACTCAGTTTTCTTTCTATTTTAAAACGTTTGAACTAGCCGTTTTAATTAAGCAAATTCCTGTTTTTACTTAACTCACTCACAGTATTTCGCTGTTAGTGAAATGTTGTCAGCAATTTTTAACCTACTTCCTGATAGGCTCTCAAGTTCATATTATGCACACACTATTTGTCGAAGACAATGTAATGTGGTGAATTTTTTTTTTGCAAAATTCGATTTAGATTTTTTTAATTTAATATTTAAACCATTTTCGCACATACCTTCGTTTAACGAACAAACTAAACATATCAGAATTTTACTATTTACAGCCGAAAAAAAAATTTTCAATGAAGCTTACATGAAAAGTGCATCTTAATTTCAGAATTTTTGGAAATTTTTTAAATATCGCTTGATAATGTAGGCATTGAAGATTCTAAAATTTCAATATCTGAACATGTGTCGGATATAAAATATTGAAATTTTCACAGATTATAAAACAAACTTTCACAATAAGAAATATTTAAAAAATCTGAACCGAGCGATTTTCTACATTTTTTTAAAAGATGTTACAGTCTGAGGAGAATGGAGAGGAAAAATTCTCACATTTTTCGAGGAAAAATTCCTTTTGAGTTTGCCCTCTTGATGCACTTAATGAAGAACTGGCGATATTCGATTTTGCAGTTTAGCTTTCAGTAAAATATTCGTTGTAACAATCCAATTTCCGAAACTGAATATTTAAGGTGATTATTTCATCCTCTGAATGAACGGCCGAACGGTAAAGTAACACTGGTAATTCCGACTTGTGTTCTTTTTCAGGTAAACGGGCCGGCTGCAGGGTTGTCTTTGTGGTTTATCCCATATTTTGCGTGTACACGAGCCAGTTTCCCTTAACAAGTCTCCCACGAAGGCGTCTCTTCCCTTAGGCAGATAGCCTTGGAGTACTTTGCCATAATTAAATAAACCAAACAAATAAACACTTCTTCTCTGAATGGCATTCAATTATTTTTCTTTATTTCATAATTTTTTTGTAATTTATTGCTTGTGTTTTAATAGTGACTAAAAATTGCATCTCTCATAACGTATAATTGAGAATAAAGAAAAGAAACTACAATTAAAAGTTTTTATGAAGTGAGCTTTGATTTAAAATGGCTATGGTAATTAATGCGCTAAAAGGAGAAAAATAATTTATCATGACACCGTAAAAATTTACGGGGATATTTAATTTCAGAATTTGCACTTTCTGATGTTTATGTTATGTTAGAATAATTCGAAAAAATAAGTTTAAGAAGGAGGTTTTTTTTTTTTTTTTTTTTTTTTTTTTTTTAATGGTCACGAAAAATCTTACCAAAAGATACAATTCTGTATGGTTTTTACTATTTTATATATTTTTTAACAACATAACAATGCTAATCCTTTTTATTTCAGATAACAAAGAAATCATCTTAAGGAAGTGCATGATGAGAAACCTCAGTCTGCTGGTCGCCTGTTTAATCTTATCTCTTTCAATCAGTCTAGCTGAAAGTGAGTTTGTTTGCCTCTTTACTGAGGTTATTACATATTAAATTACAAATACGTACGCATCTATAGTTTAATTTCATATGTAATGTTTATTATACATTTTGCATACATGTATTAATAATTTAGATTTTTAATGTAATGCGCCAAAAATATGTAAATTTATGCAAACGTATATTATAACTTAAAATTATGTTGATATTATGTTAAAATTGCATTATATATTTTAATACTTTATCGTTTGTTTAAATATATACATTTATACATACGTATAAATAACATTAAAAATAAATGTGCGTAGGTGAAGAAAGGGTAAATATCGAAACAGTAAAATATATCTAAAAAAAGTTAGCTGTAAAGTAAATTGCAAAATACATAGAGAAAAAGTGTTTTAATCTAAGAACTATGTGAAATTTCATTTAATTTATTCAGTTTTTTATTTAGACAATTAGATTCAGTTTTTTTTATTTAGATCGTTGTTACTATCTCGAGAGTAATTTAAAATTCAAATTTTAACTCTGTAATAAAAATGGTTGACAAATACAGTGAAACCTCAGTCCACTAATTTGATTCGCTCCTGAAGGCTATCCATCGTTCGAAAATTTCATAAACCGAAAAATTGTTTCCCTGCAGGAATTAATGTAAAATGGGGTAATTCCATCCTTAGTTACAGATGAAAACTTGTTTGAATTTTCTAGCAATATTTTATGCTATATATATTTTATGTAATTTTGTGTGCGTGTGTGGTTTATAATGCAAAACCAATAAAAATGATTAAATCTAAATTAAAAATATATAAATCGAATATTAAACTAGAGGAAAAAGAAATTTAAGTTTATTATACCTGAACGAAGGAGAATGTTGGGATAAATGAAAAATGATAAGAAAGAGGCTGAAAGATTTGTTTGCTTAGATGAAAAATATTACTGTTTAGACGAGGAGCCTTTCCCGTAAAACATTAGGTAACTGTCTTTTAGGGCCGTCTTCTTTCATCTTTCCTTCTCCTCTTAGAGCCACACTGAACGAGCGGCCGAACGGTACAGTAACACTGGTAATTCCGACCTGGGTTCGTTTTCAGGTAAACGGGCCGGCTGCATGGTTGTCTTCATGGTTTTTCCCATGTTTTACGCGTACACGAGCCAGTTTCCCTTAACAAGTCCCCCACGAAGGCATCTCTTCCCTAAGGCAGATAGCACTGGAGTACTTTGCCATAATTCAATAAACAAATAAACATCCCTAACCATTTTTAAATAAAGACAACGCATTGCCATTGAAAATACGTATAGTATAGCATTCTGCTTCTTTATGAGGGCGATATCTTCAGGTGAAATCTTAAATTTACAATGGCGCATTTTGCATCATTTCGCAAAAACTTCGGGGGACAAAGAACTACGATCATCTTTTAGCCCTTCTTCTTCTTCTGAAGACCTTTCCTCCATAATTGCTTTTATTGCTGCTTCAGCTTCCTTCTCTGAAGACTTTTACTTCACAATTGCCTTTTGTTGCTGCTTCTTCCTCTGAAAATATTTCCTCGATATTTTTCAAGTAAGGACAAATTCGAGCAGTTAAAGGCGAAAACATAGCGGACGAAAGCAAGGCGAACGTCTTCGTATAAAGCATCGTGAAAGAAAAGAAAGCGAGGAGAAAACATTGCAGTTCTAAAACGTCGTGGTATCATTACTTAATTAATCTCTTTTAGAAAGTTGTATTGCCAGTTTTTCATGAGAAACATAGTCTAATAACATTTAATAATTACTACATAAGCTTAAAATTCTGTTAGCTGCTGTACGTAGCATTCACTTTTTACTCATTTAAAGATTTTGAAAGCTCAAGTTTCCTTCTGGATTTTTTTGCAAAAATTTATTAGTTGATTAAAAAAACTGAAACACGAAGGTGAAAATATTTCTCACTCCTTGCTTTCATTATGCTAATACACATTTACAAATTTTAAAGGGTAAAAAAACACACATGTCTGCGATGTTATAGTCATGCGATGATTTATAAGTGCTTTATTTTTTACTACGATATTTTCTAAGACGATGTTTTTAAATCGCTTTATTTTCGACGACTATGTTTTATATCCCGGTGTTTTAGAACTGTGATGTTTTCTCCTCGCTTTATTTTCTCCCAAAATGTTCTGTACGACGATGTTTCAGCTCTACGTTTGTTTCCATCGGACATCAATTCAAGCAGATTGGAAATGATCCTCCATTAAATCTTTCATACATTCCATATGGAATTAACTACTATGGACTTCTTCTGTCAGATGATATGGGTTCATAAATTTTTCTTTGATCTTTTGCTACAGAATTGGTCAAATTCTTCATAAATCCAACTTTTAATTTCCTTTTCTTTCTGCTAATCATATTCGTTATTAAATTTTTAGATTTCAGTCCGTATTTTAATACTTGGATAATATATAAGAGTCTTTTTTGCAAAGCTTAATATACATTGTTAAAATTACAAAAATTATCAAAATATTCCCTTAAAAAACATATGTCAAAATACATGAAGTGAGTAAATCTATCTTATCCAGGCATTGCTGGATTTCCAATTCTTATTTTAATTTTAATTCTATTAAAATTATCCCAAAGACTTCTTCAGAGAGGAATAAAGTTTCTGGAAACTTACCATCCCTAAGCCTGTCAACTTTAACTAACTATTTGTGCTCTTCTAGAAGAACAGAAATATCGTATAAATATCTTTTGGAACGCGCAAATATTTTGTATAGAAGCAACGGTAATCTAAGCTTGGATCTTCCATGGTTTTAATCATAATCATTATTTAAAAGTTATGACTCTTAAAAATCAGGAATGGGCACAGGTTTTGAAAGACATCGGCATCTATTTCCAGAAATCGCCACTATTGGAAGAGAAAGTTCGAAAAAAAGAGTATGATGTTAATACCAGCTTTGAATGATTGATAAGTCTTTTAGGTAATAAGCAAAGCAGCGAGACATATTTTCTAAACTTCCAATGGTAGTTATCCAACGAACATTCCTAGTCTTTAACGATGGATGACTATAATGGAATAGCAATAACATGTCGTAATGATCAGTTTGTATTAGATTATCGGCGGGAGCTTTATTCCCAAAGCCTGGAAACGTTTAATGTTCCATGGCATTTTCAAATACACAAGTTCGGGCTCGACTACTAGTATACTTCGAATTCCTAGTCAGGTTCCGTCCTCGGGAATCACAACCGTAACTGTCTTCGAAGTGACACAGAAGTTTCAATTCCACGAATGGTGGAATGTTTCGGGTGATGGATTGCTGTTCCATAATGAGGAAAAGATCGCTTTTGAGTGACCTTTAAGCTATGTCACCCATGACACCAGGATAATTATATACTCACATCAGGTTAATCTTGTTTGTGTGCATTACGTACAAACAAATTCAAAATCATCGTAATATGTAAACATCAGGGGAAGGAAACGAGCTAATGTTTAAATGCATCAAATATATCGCCAACATCATGATAAAAGCATGACGTGATTCTACAAAATCATTGTGACGATGACGCCATATTTAAAAGAAGGCTTTTTTGGGGGAAAAGGAGAATTCAATTAAAATTTCTAAGAGATAAGTTTTTTTTTTACATTCATCGTTTATGATACAATGTGTCTGCAAAGTCTTCAACCTGAATCATCAGTCTATCTATTTGTCTCTTTCTTTCTCTCTCTCTCTCTCTATATATATATATGTAATAGATTGGAGATGTTAGCTGCAATGGAATTGGAGAAGTTTATGTGTAGATATAATGCAGAGAGATGACACATAAGGACAGACCTGGCTGAAAACAAGACGTAATTTTATTTCTTGACAATTAATTCTTGAGATACATATTCTCATTCACACATCATCATGGGTGCAGTATGCACCCTACAGTTTCGGAAGCTTAGAACATCTTCATGCAATGTATTGTACAAAGGCTAGCGGAAACATGTTATTTTGATGCAGGCAAATGGAAAAGCGGGTAGTTATCCAAAATGGAAGCTTAAGAGAACAATTTCGGTTCTGGAAATTTTGATTTTTTAAGTTTCGAATAAGCCATGTCAAATAGCGTTATATAAAGAATGGAAAGGGGAAGTATCCAAATTAAAATGCGGAATAAAGGGGCTATTGCCAAATTAAAATGAGTAGTTTGCTTTTATATTTTATATCTCACATATTCCCCATCTTTCTAAGAGAAAAAGGCTTGGCGATAGAATGCCAAGCCTCTTTCTAACTTTAGATCGTTAGCAAATGAAGATAAACATTCTCTGCAATATTTGCAATTCAAGGATTGAAATGAGAAATTTTGTTCAAAAGCATAGCCTTTAGGTTTCACTGTGTCTCGTCATTTCGTTTATCAACTCTCTTATATATTAAACGTGCAAAATGACACATAAAAATGTAATTCAGAAATAATACAGAAACATAATATTATAGAGTACATGAATTAAATTTGTAATCCAAATTACAAGTTTATGCTTTCGTTTTTCTCTCAAAATATAAATTTGTATAGTTCTTCAAATTTTCTCTCCAGGTATCGTAAAAACTATCCTAAATTGGAGTCCTAAATTTTTCAAGAAATAATTGTAAGTTAAGAGTTCTAGAAAATCCTTGTTTGAATATCATAGTGCAATTTTTACTGTCCTACTCTTGAAAGTCTTTCGCGAAACTGCAATATTCAATATAAAACCGAAAAGTTTCTTCTACATATTCATGAAATTCTATTAAAATACGTATTTAACACATTATGACACAATTCACATTTCTTATCGAAAAGCACTGTAAAGGGGATTTTAGAAACAAATAAACATAGAAAAGTAGCAAAATACATTAGACTAACAAAATAAACTTTCATACAAACGGGCACATCCTCAACAAGCGAACCAGCATAGGCTATTTGCTGACGACCGTGGAATACTTTATATTCTAAGACCAAACTAAAGTAGTGTGATTAGTATGCCCAGTAAAATGACTTCCATCCAAGCAGTAAATTAAATAAGTAAAAGTTTATTTA